CCCCAAAACCCCAAAACCCCAAAACCCCAAAACCCCTCAGCACTTTTAAAGGTTGAACTTTAAATTCTTATTAACTCCTATGTTGCTTCTGTTCTGTCAGAACCTCATAAATCAGTCCTAAGTCATTCAGGATATCTGCCCTTTCAAAGGCTTCTGGAGTCATGATTTCTTTGTTAAATATATAAGTGTTTTGATCTGCTCCAAAGTCTGATTTCGGGATCACCCGAGCTGATTTGCATGGCTTTAGCATCTTCTTAGTTTGTTTTGGAGCTATTTGGATAAGGAGGAAAGTCTAGAGTGTCTTACTATTACTATTGCTTCGGTGGCTGAGAATGAACTCTGCAAGATCAACTTTTTGATTGAGGTCATTCCGTTTGAGACCTTTGCTCGTAATAGTTCTTCTGTTAGATGCTATCTTATATTCGTCAAGGATTTTATCATCCACTGGGATCTCTTTTATTCTATAATCTTAAGACAGGATCATACAGCCTGCTAGTGGTTGGTTGGAGGTACCCTGGAAGGGGAGTTATCATCTCCTTTTCCATCTGTATTGGGTTAAATGTCTTAATATTGGTTCATTTTCTATGCTTTATGTCAAACCTTACCGATTTTGACGAGATTTCTCTTGATCTTGGGCTATCTTTGAAAAGGCTATATGCTCTTTCATAATATTATCAGAGATGACATCAAGAGTCTTTTTCTCTTTGTCAAGGTACTGTTGAGGTTCAGCTATCAAGTTTGGCTCATTCACCTTGTACATATCAGAAATGGTGGGTTCATGACTGATATCTTCTTTCTGATCTGACTCAGCAATAATTGGGACTGACTCTGTTTTTTCTTCCTTTGATGAATGTTTACTTTTGGAAGTATTACTCACACTTTCATGGTCTATTCTGATTTCAGAGACTATTATAGATGAGAGCAGAAGTACTTGAATCGTCCCTTGCCTTGCTACCTGAGTCTGCTTTGAATTTTGTGACTGCAACTAGGAATTAATCATAAAATATTACATTTTGATTGCCTAATTTGCTTCTTCTCTTCTTGATTGGAGTGAGAGTCTTGGCAGTGACTTCCTAAAGTTTATTGTTCAATTTACGATCTGAATTATGACTATTGATTCTGTTAATGTCAAGGTTAACCTTAGACTCCTTTTGCCTGACTCTTCTGAAGCCATGGCCTTTCTTTTTATGATTTCGGTTTTTGTTCTGGAAGCGAAGATACTCTTTCAGAATTTGTTTGATTTTCATTGTGAGGCCCCAGAATGTTCTTGTTTTGGAGAGCCTTCTCTCTTTTTCTTTCTTTCTAGCCAGATAGCCAAGTATCAGATGTTCTATGTCCCTGACAATATTTTTGTGTTGCTTCTCCTAAGAATTATTGTTGAAAGATTTACCTTGACTTGCTTCCAGAATCGATTGTTAATTTCAAGTTTTTCGAGTTGTAGTTTCTTGAGGGTCCCTTTATTTCCAGAACAAATATGATCTATTAGATTAATTAAGGATCTTTATTACCTAAGGTGGGTTTGAACAGTAATTATGGCTTTATTTTTAGCGATTCTTCGCTCAATCATTCTTCGAATTTTATCAATACGTTCTCTCCAGACTTTCTGGATGACCTTTGCCGCTTTGACTCTCTAATGATGATAACTTGGAGTACCTTATCTTTGATTCTCAGGAAGGTCATTCTTGCTTTGATGAAGTCTTGCATTCCTTTGAGTTTCTAATATTTGAAAGGTAATTTCATACTGAAAGGGCGACTTCTCTTCTCTTTTGAAAGTGAATCTTCTTCATTCGGTCTTCGATCCTTTTGATAGGCTGATCAAGGCCAGGGAAGTAACTATAGGTTATTGCTGTTTTTACTCTGAAGTAGTCACATTGTACTCTTTTCTGAGGGACTTGATCTTCTTATTTTCTCCATAGGAAATCTGAAAGCTCTTTACAGGCTGTAGAAGTAAGGATCAGGCTGTACCTTGGCTATACGCTTTGCTCACTAATTTCTTTTTGATCTTGGATTCTGATTTGTTCCAGTTTATACTATAGATAGTCAGGTTTTGGAATTTACATTGTCTTCATCCTGGATGTTGAGTTACTTGTTGTTATGATAGCTGGCCTTGCTTCTAGAGAAATGTGAAATAGGTCCAGATTTGCTCGAAGATTTTAAATTATTTCAGAGTTTAATTTTAGTGCTATTGATTTTATGGGTTTCTATGTGAGACTAACTTACGTCTTCGAGATGGATTTTGTGAAAAATATTGGAGACGACTTGAAGCTCGAGAGTCAGTGTTTCGTTCTAGATTATTTAGTAAATTAAGAACCATGCATACTTACAATAAAGAGAAATAATCCAAGATAAGTTACTTACTGTTGAAGAAGAGATGGTTCCGACTTCCTCTACTCGTCTGTAAAATTCTCTGCTTTGGATGAGGTGTTGATTGCTTGTCCATTTTATGAATTTTATTTAAGTTTCAATATAATTGCCAAATTTCGGGGTTTTGGGGTTTTGGGGTTTTGGGGTTTTGGGG